AAATTATTTTAAAAATTTTCCTTTTATTATGTTTAAGCGTACAGTGTTAATGATTTTTTTTAAAATTGTTTTGAATTTTATTTTTGTAATATGTTTAAGCGTACGGTGTTACCGATTTTTTTAAAAAATATTTTTTTGAATTTTTTCCTTGTATTATGTTTAAATGTACAGTGTAACCGGTTTTTTTTTAATTTTTTTTTTAAAATTATTTTGAATAGAATGGATGATGTTAAGGGTAAAATGATATATTTGTTATATAAGATGTGATAGAATAGATAGTTGTTTGTGGAACCCACTATAATATTTATTGAACAAACAAACAAGGGGAATGATAGGATAAAAATTTAAGACTGGATATAATATACCATTGAATAAGAGTGGAATGAAAATAATTTCTAATACTACCCAAATTTAATACTCCAAACAAACAGGCCCTAAGGGTATAATGTGAACAATCTAATCTTTGGGGGTAAGGAGTGAAAATTTTTAAATCTTTTGGGAGCATAAAATGTAATTCGCCCTAACCTTTTCTCTCTCATCCCAATTTCTCTCTCTATATAACCAGCCACCCAGACCACTGCAGTAGCCCAAGAACCTCACCGCCCAAACCTTTCCAGATCATCACATTAATTTGGGTCAGAAATATTCTGGGTTTCATTGATTTGTTTATATCATTTAGATTGGAAAAAGGAGAGGAGATGATGGTAGAGTTCTTTCTTCTGGGTTGCACCGGTGTTGTGGTGTTCCTCCATGGAGCCAATTTCTTCTTCCACGCTCTCTCTCATGGCATCGCCATTCGATCTCTCAGGTACCCCCAATCTCTCTCTCTCTCTCTCTTACACACACACATTTGACGATTGAGTTTGGAGCTACGGGCTGGTGGTCTAATTGTAAGTGGTATTTATTTTGGGTCATTCTTAACTTGTTAAGGGTTCGGAGTAATGACGTTTGTTGGTTAGTTTTGGTGGTACGATGATGATTGATGACAGACAGTTTACGGTGGAGACCCTCATGGTCATACTCTAGGTTTATACTTACTGATCGCTCCTCCCCTTTTGGAAATTAAAAAAAAAAGAAAAACAAAAAGTAAAGTTTGAAGCTCTATTCTTCCTGATGAGGTATTGGACTTTCATGTTAAAAAAAAAAAGTAACTTCAACTTATGGAGATTTTTCAACTGACGAACCAAATTAAGGGCATATATAAGCATTATTAATGACCCATAACTTTAAGAATTTGTGGGATTAAACTCATCCAATTGATAAAGTTTACTGGAGTTTCATTGTAAATTATGTAGCTTAATACATTGTTATCTTTAAAATGAAGTTTTTTCCATCGAGAAAGAAGAAAAGAAAAGAAAATTTGATTAGAAAGTTACTTGGAGATGTTTAATTTATTAAAAATTTTAGGTCTTTTTAAAGTGTATAAAACGACGAGCAGAAAATCCAAACGTTCTGAGTTTGGGGCCACAGCCTTTGATTAGACTGGTGTCGATAATGTACCTTCGATCAAATCGATCAAGGTGTGTGTTAGTTTGCTGAAACCTTTGAACCAATAATTCATTGCGACAATGCTTTAATAAATCCAGAATCTAACTCTTAATTTGGCTGACTTTTGTTTGGTAATTTTTTAGCTTAATTATTGGTGAATTATTGTTTCTTGGACCTTTGTATGGAGAATCTACTGCCTACCATATACATGGTGTTTGGTCCACTATCCTAAAATCACACTCCACCGACCCACCACGGTTGTTGGATTGTGGTTCCCTCCCATGTATTTTTTCTTCAATATCGTCAATGAGTAAGAGACTTACTTATATATAATGGACCCACTTGAATATATTGCTTTATTTTTTGTTGGTAACATCCAATTACTTTTGAAAATGTCATTTTTGCCTCTACGTTTGATCTGCTAATAATAAAATGTGGCTATATTGGTGAAAGGGAAAGTTGTGTTGTTATTTGGTTACTGTGTTGTATGTTTTACTTCTTACTTGATTGGTTTTGTTATATACAGTTTCTTGGGATTTATAGCATGGTAGAGAAGGGTATAGATGATGATGTGTTCTTGGGGAAATCTGTATGAAGATTGGAGGTAGCTTGCACCTACCAGGCACCCTTTTGTAAATAGTTCTTTTTAAAGTAAATTATAGTTGAATATAGAACGGAATAGAGGGATAATATTGACATTTCAGAGAGAAATATCGATGTATTCTGAATTATTATTCCGTTCTTAGATCAAAATTGATCGAGATTATTATCTTCTGTTTATTTGTAAGACATAATTGTAGCTTCTGTATGCAAAGTTCTCAGAGATCCACCATTCATAAATTATGAAGAACAGACAATTTTATGTGATATGTATCCTACCCTTGAATTATTAAAAGTGATCCAACTTTCAGATTTATGTACTAAAACTTAGTTGTCTACCTTGTTTTGGCAAACTATTAAGTGTCACTCTTTCCTTCCTAATGGAGATGCTACAATATCGTATCGAAAATTATTATTTTTTGATTTCACAATACTCCATTTGGCAATCGGTTCGATTATTCAGGGTATTCTGTCATTGTCGTGGTTCCTTTACTTTCATTACATCGATGTGGATTACCTCGGGAAATAGCAATAGAGTTTTTTCAGACATTTATCATTCGTGGTCTAATTAGACAATATCTTGCTTCGAATATAAGAGTTGTTAAGAGTTAAATTCGAGAAAAAGAACCGCTTGCATGAGAAATACTTCAAGATATTATATAGGGGCATCTTGTATTATTGAATAAAACACCTGCATAGATTAGACATACATGTATTCCAATCCGTTTTAGTGGAAGAGTGTGCTATTTGTTTACATCCATTAGTTTGTAAGAGATTCAATACAAATTTTGATGAGATCAAGTGAACACAAGAATGCACCATTGTCTAAGGATAAATGATCGGTGTTTATGAGGCTTCAATTGAAAAGAAGAAAAGCAAGAGGTCAAGTTATATTTTTTTAAAGGTGAAATTACAATTGCGTGAGGTAATTCATGATTAAAATGTTGTAATTAATCATGAATACTCAACCATTTATAACTTTATATTTAAAACGTGTAACTTGACTCTTAACAGTTATAATTTTCATGATCAGTCTTAATATTTTAAGATCGATCATATTTTTTGTAGTTATAACTTAGATCCCGTATTTTAAAATTGATAATTTCTTTTGTAGTTTTAATATATACCTAAAAAAATTATAATTTAACATTAAAAAATTGTAAGTGATACTAACTTTTTATCATCGGTTATTCTTTTTTTTTTTTTTTTTTTTGGGGAGGGGGTTGGTTTGGCAGTTTATGACAGAAATGAATGGTCAAGTACTCTGCAAATATTGGGTACAGCTAGTTGGGTAGGAAATCTCTTTCAGTGTACCTCCTTGTAAGAAAGAGAAAGAATTCATTGGATGAAATGTTTTGCATCTTTGTTAATGGATTATATGTCTACTCTAATCGCAAACATACCCAATCACAATGCTTTGTGAAAACTCCATCAAGTGACAGAGACTGTGACATTCAAGTCGGTTGTGGGTCTTGGTGTAATAATAAAATATTATTTTATTAAAATTTGAAGATGACAGGTTCAAATTATAGAAATAATTTCTCTATTTATAAGAGTAAGACTAAGTACATTTAATTTTTCTTAGATTCCGTAATAACGAGAATCTCCTGTACTGAGTAGGTCTTATTATTAGCAAAGCAATGCCAAAAATTTATACACTCGGCGTTATATTAATAATTATGATGTAATAATTAATTTTGGTTGACTAAATAAATACACTTTCTTGTAACAAAAAATTTGCAAGTGATAATTACAAAAATAATAATTTAAAAAGTACATTTTGAGTTACATAAGTTATCTAAAACCACAACCTAAATCTTGTCACTTTTTAAGATAAGTGAATTTTGTTGTCCAATGTCTGGTGGCCCCAATTTTAATGAATGATTAAACTAAGCCACCAGTTACCCCTACACAATTCAATGAATTGAGCCTATCGAAAATTCTATTTGGACATATTTATTGATTTTATTTATCAATTTAATTCATCGCAATTATTGAATTTGTAACGAGTCCTAACTAATAGCAAAATCCATTACCAATTCCGTGGTTGAGAGTGATTAGATTAGTAAATACGGTGCATAAATTATATCAAAGTTGACATTTGAAGTATGTCTAAAAATTTGCCAAAATATATATTTTTTTTAATTTCTTATACTAAATCATTCACCATAATTTTAAGTAGAGCCTCTTAAATAAGAAAATTCTCTACTAAAAAAAAATTCCTATGATAATGAATCAATTATCATGAATTTTCATAGAATTTAATTTACATAAATAGACCTCAATTAATATCAAAAATTAAAAAAAAATTATTTTTTTATGAACACAAGGGAGACAAGCAAGTGGTAATAGGGACAGGGATGAACTGTAAATTCAAATGTCTTAAATTTAAATCTTGACAATTAGAGTTGTTAATTAAACTAAGCTACTCGAGTTTGGCTCGTTCAGGCTCGGTTCGTTTGTTAAACGAGTCCGAAATTGAACAAATTTTTAGGCTCGTTTGAAAAACAAGCCCAACAAACTTGACTCAAAACTCGGTAGGCTCGGCTTATTTATGTGCAAATATTTGAGTTCAACTCGGGCTCGACTCATTTTGGGCTCGTTCAGGCTCAACTAAATTTTTAAACGAACTGAACTTGAATAATTTTTTAAACTCGATTAAGAAATAAATTTTTTAAGTTCGGCTCAAGCTTATTCGACTAACAACATTGTTGACAATCCATTGGGTCAAAGAAATCTTATTCCTCATAAATACTCTAGTGTCTGAGACTGTCTAATCAAAAAAGAGATTAATCAAAGTGCACAAAAATCAAACCCCAGGACCGTTGAACCTGAAAAGAAGAGAGGGAATGGGGCTAAAATGATAAACAATGGTACGAGGTCCGCAAGTGTTTAAACCCAATACCTTGTTGGCCCTTTAATCAAATGGATCATGAAGCTTTGGCGATTCAATTCCCTTCAAAAATGCCTTTACCTACCTTTTAAACACTTCACACCCTTTCAACAATTTCGTTGCACCTTCAAACTTATCCAATCCTTAGCTAAATTTTACCCAGACCCAGAAATCACATCCAATTTAATCTTAACCGAGAACACCAACTTCACACCCACCTTCATTTCCTATTCAAAGCTCTTATCAAACTTGTGCCAAACCAAGTCCCTTAGTTCTGGTTTCCAAATCCATGCCCACATAACAAAACTTGGAGTGGTTGGAGAATCCCAACTTAAGAACCATTTGATTAATCTTTACTCCAAGTGTGGAGTTTTTGAGTATGCTCGTAAACTGATTGAAGAAAGTCCTGAACCAGATTTGGTTTCTTGGTCTTCTTTGATATCTGGGTATGCCCAGAATGGGTTTGGCGAAGAGGCCCTTTTGGCTTTTCGTGAAATGCACTTGTTGGGTATTATGTGTAATGAGTTTACATTCCCGAGTGTGCTTAAAGCGTGTTCGATTAAAAAGGATTTGGTGCTTGGGAAACAGGTTCATGGGATTGTGGTCATCACTGGGTTTGAGTTGGATGTTTTTGTTGCAAATACGTTGGTTGTTATGTATGCAAAATGTGGTGAGTTTGTGGATTCAAGGAGGTTGTTTGATGAGATCCCGGAAAGGAATGTTGTTTCTTGGAATGCATTGTTTTCTTGTTACACACAGAGTGATTTTTGTGGGGAAGCAATAACTTTGTTTCAAGACATGGTGACTAGTGGAATAAAACCAGATGAGTTTAGTTTATCGACTATATTAAATGCTTGCACAGGATTAGGCGATGTTGGCCAAGGGAAGAAAATTCACGGGTATTTGATGAAGCTTGGGTATGATTCAGATCCATTCTCATCAAATGCACTTGTGGACATGTATGCAAAAATGAGAGATCTTGGAGATGCAATTGCTGTTTTTGAGGGTATTGCAAAACCAGATATTGTTTCTTGGAATGCTGTTATCTCTGGTTGTGCTCTTCATGAATATCATGACAGGGCGTTGGAGTTGTTGGTGCAGATGAAATGGTCAGGAATAGAACCAAACATGATTACCATATCAAGTGCTCTTAAAGCTTGTGCTGGATTGGGAATCCAGGAATTGGGTAGACAGTTGCATTCTCGTTTGATAAAATTTGATTTATTATTGGATCCTTTTGTTAGTGTTGGCCTTATTGATATGTATTGCAAGTGTGCCTTGATAGAGGATGCAAAAATGGTTTATGATTCGATGCCAGAAAAGGACTTGATCGCACTGAATGCTATGATCTCTGGACTCTCACAGAATGGGGAAGACCTAGAAGCTCTATCACTTTTTACTGAGATATACGAGAGAGGAATGGGATTTAACCAGACAACTTTATTAGCAGTCCTCAACTCCACAGCTAGCATGCAAGCTGTCAATGTTTGTAAACAAGTTCATGCACTTTCAGTGAAGTCAGGGTTGCAATTTGATACCTACATCCTAAACAGCCTTGTTGACTCGTATGGAAAAAGCAGCAATTTGGAAGACGCAGCAAGAATTTTCGAAGAATGTCCAATTGCAGACTTGCCATCTTTTACATCTATGATAACTGCTTATGCTCAGTATGGACAAGGTGAAGAAGCTCTAAAGCTCTATTTGAAAATGCAATATATGGTGCTCAAGCCAGATCCATTTGTTTGTAGTTCTATCCTGAATGCTTGCGCAAACCTATCTGCATATGAACAGGGGAAACTAATTCATGTTCACATCTTGAAGTTTGGGTTTATGTCAGATATTTTTGCTGGGAATTCTCTAATCAACATGTATGCCAAATGTGGAAGTATAGATGATGCGGGGCGGGCTTTCTCTGAGGTACCTGATAGAAATGTAGTCTCGTGGTCTGCAATGATTGGAGGACTAGCTCAACATGGGCATGGGAAGGAGGCCCTGCATTTATTCAATGAGATGATTGACGACAGTGTGTTCCCCAATAATGTGACATTGGTTAGTGTCCTTTGTGCATGTAATCATGCTGGTTTAGTGACAGAAGCAAAACGTTATTTTGAAACAATGAAAAAATTATATGGCATTGAACCAATGCAAGAGCACTATGCTTGCATGATTGATATCCTTGGCCGAGCAGGGAAATTGGATGAGGCAATGGATCTTGTAAATAAAATGCCATTTGAAGCTAATGCCTCAGTATGGGGGGCACTTCTTGGTGCTGCAAGAATCCATAAGAATATTGAGCTAGGCCAACGTGCTGCTGAGAGGCTTTTCACTCTTGAACCAGAGAAATCTGGGACTCATGTTCTTCTTGCAAACACTTTTGCATCTGCTGGGTTGTGGGAAAATGTTGCAAAGGTGAGAAGACTAATGAAAGACAGCAAGGTAAAGAAGGAACCAGGTATGAGTTGGATTGAGGTGAAAGACAAAGTGTACACATTTATAGTAGGAGACAGAAGCCATTCTAGAAGCGAGGAGATATATGCAAAACTCGTGGAGCTGGGAGACCTGATGAATAAAGCTGGATATATTCCCATGGTAGAGTTTGACCTCCATGATGTGGAACGAAGTGAAAAGGAGGTTCTTCTCTCTTACCACAGCGAGAAACTTGCTGTGGCTTTTGGGCTAATAGCTACTCCATCAGGAGTGCCCATTCGGGTCAAAAAGAACCTTCGAGTCTGTGTAGACTGCCATACAGCATTTAAGTTCATTTGTAAAATTGTTTCGAGGGAGATTATTGTTAGAGACATCAACCGATTCCACCATTTCAGAGACGGATCATGTTCTTGTGGTGATTATTGGTAGTGTCCATTGAGAAGTGTTTTTCCTCTGAAAGCTAGAAGAATCTGCAGTTACCTCCACGTTTGTCCCATTCTTTCTGTGACATTGAACACTGGATGGAGCCCTTGATAAATAACTCCCCCACCCCTCTTTCTTTTTCCATGCTAATTTTAACAGCCTGGATTCTGTATCCAATTTTGTTCTATCAATTGAAAATGACGTTTTTTTTGTAAGAGCATGTCTAAGAAATATCTGCAGGCTGGTCACTGAGCACCTTTCTTTTTCAACTTGCAAGGCACCCCCAGCCCTTCCCAATCTTTATGACGTAACAACAGCAAGGAATTGAGAAAGAGAAAGAAACATCGCCTGCTGATTTTATTTCAGCAGGCCCTCTACCCTATTTCCTTCATACATGTGCTTGGTTCTATTTCTCAAAATCCACACTATTTTTCCCATTCTAAGTTGCTTTAGTGCAGAATAGAAATGAAGACATTCCACTACTGGGAAGTGAAAACTCAATTTTAGTAAGCAATTATCTTTCAGACATGAGTGTATATATTTGTTTTATATCTTTTTGCTGTTGCAGCAATGAGATTTCTTAATTCTAGGGCAAGTTATGTTTGGAAATACGTTAGTTGATGTTGTTGGGTTGATCTGTCATAATTTCTTTCTGGCTTGGTTTCCAAACATATCAGAATATGAAGCCCCTGTTTCTGATGCCTTACACTGTTTTTCAGAAACTAATAGTTGACAATCGAAGAAGTACCACCAGAAGCAGTTGGAAAGGGATCCAGTCTCTTAACAAAAAAATGAAGAAAAAAGAAGCATCTGAAGTTCCCGAGTATGAAGCTTGCATAACTATGTTCATCTCTCCTTCACAAAAGCATACACTTATTTGAGAACTAGCATCAGAAAACAGATTGATTACCTATAAATTGATTCAATTGTGACGCAAGTACAAATGGCAACAAGCCAAACCACACAAGAACACGGATGATCCAGCATATTGACAACTTAACTAGCTTAATGGCCTGCTAGCAATTTGGTACCATTAACCTTTGTACCCTTAATCAAGCTGGACAGACATTGCTGTTTGAAAAGGAGCCAAGGGAAGTAACCACATTATTCAGACTAGAAAGAAGGCTAAATACAGAGCCAGAAAAGTTTGATTAATACAAGATACCCTCTATTTCAAATCACTGTATAAATTAAACAATACAAGGCTTTTTCTGTGAACAAAAACTAGACGAAAAAGAACAAAACAGAAAATCTATCAAAGAGGAATTGTAACTGTGGTCCTACTCGAGCCAAATATGGCCCTGTTTCAAGCCAATGTTAGTAGAAGGGCCAATGTTGATGCATATTGCACAAGTCAACATTTACAGAAGTTACAATCAAGGCGCAAAGCGAAGTGATTTCTTGTGGTCCATGGGACTAGTTCCGACCCCAGAAACTCCAGTGGGAGTAAAAGGGTTAAGGACACCAGGCATAATTTTTTTTTTAAAATGGTACAATAAAGCCATTTGCTTCCTATGGTATTTTCACATCAACAAAGAGTCCTCGGACATTATGGTCAGCAAGGAGTACTTCACCTTGATTCTAATCCTACCATCCTCCACACACAGCTTTGTGCCCGTAACCACCCAATAACCAGGTGGATCCTCCGGTCCCCTAACCATTTCCTTCGTGTCCACAAAATTTGACATCTTAGGAGCTCTTTTGGGCATAGGCGGGCCACCAGGATAGACTGCTGAATTCAAATCCACCTTTGCAGGCTTCTCAGGTTGAGCCAGTACTGTACTGAATGGTGCGCTGATTAACATTGACATTAATCCTGATCTTCGAGATGAGGTCGATGGCTCGTCCCACTCTGATCTACGAATGCTTGAATTTGCAACCATTGAAAATCCAAGCCTGAGGAACAGGACTTTTTTAATTCCCATACCCTTGACCTCAAACCAGGCCTTTGTCACTATGGAAGCAGAAGTGTCATCAATTCGTGCTCCATTGTGCTCTACTGGAGCTGTGTACACGTGTGAGAATATGCTCCACTTCACAGGTTCAAAGTAGCCTCGATCCATTGGCTCGTCAATTGGCTTATAACTATGATCGTCTGAGAGCTGAAGGATCTGGGGAAGAGTTGATAGATGCTGCAGATGGATAGCCAGGTGATCACTCTTCTTACCTTCCAAGTACAAGCGGATCCCTGTGATAGGCCTGTTTCCAGAGTCTACCTGCACCCGTTTTATTTAAAAAATTGGAAGGACCTAATAATTCAGACAAATGAAAAGGTACTATCATCTTGGACTGGTGACTTCCAGCCACAACTTACAGGCAGGAGAACTATTGTGCAGGTATCATTAGGTACTAGGAGACAATGTGATGTTGACAGTTCTCTAGACAAGTGCATAAAAATTATAAAAAGAATCCAACCCATCAAAAACGCAACATAAAAAAACAATAGGTAAGCTATTCTAGTTGGAGCCTCAAGGCAACCTCAATTTGACAAGACCTATCCATCGCAAACAAAAAGATAACAAAATGAAAGAGAGAAGCATTCAATTACAGGTATGCATTCAAGCAGAAGGGAGGATTAGTTCGGATAATTTAGATCTCAGAAACGTCTCCAATAAGGACTCTCTCTTTCAAATGAATATTTACTTTTCTTGACTAAGCTTCTACAGTCATAATGCCAAGCATGGGACACAAAGTATTTGCAAAATGAAACTTTTTTCCTTGATGCTGAACTTCAAATTATTGATAGGGCAATTTTTGCAAGGTGCAAGAACAAAAATTTTTTTACCTTCACAGTGTTAACATAAAGCCTAGGACCCATAAAAGTGAATTGAAGCGATGGAGAAGCCTGTTTCTTGCGACGATGACCTAGTGGAAGATCCCCATATGCTGGCGCCCATTGCCTAGGTAATTGAAATTCTAAAAATTGATGGAGCTCCTCTATAGGCGGTTTATCTGCATAACTGATTAGCCATCAGAGAACAATCCAGCAGTTCTAAATTTGAGTGGCATTGCCCCAGGAAGAATAAAATGACAACTTTCCCATACAAGAAACAAAATCTCAGACAATGTACAGAAAGGAGATCAGGCTGAATACAATAGACGAGTCACAAAACAATCTTGTCGAGCTACAACTTATTTACAATAACATACAATAATATGCCCTGGATATCTGACATACTGAAAGTTTGGTGAAAGGACCAATATTAATGGTATTTACTATTTCGAAATGAAATGTGGAAGTTACCCTAAATATCCCAAACGACAAAATCAAAATACTCATCTCAACAACAAAACTTTTTCCTAACTATCTGGAGTCAGCTACATGAACCTTGTTTTTCCATTGTGTTCTATCTAAAGATCATATATTCTGTTAACCCGTGAGATATCACATACTTTTTACTATTTCATTCAAATTTAATTTTAACACTCTCGCATACCATTGATATGTATCAACTTACCCTTCCTCACTGGTACATTACTATGTCGTGTATAAACATGTCTAAACCACCTAAATCAATTCTCTCTTAATTGGTTTCCTATTGATGCGAAATTCTACGATTTCACAAATATACTCATTTCTAATTCTATTCCTTCTTGTTTTACCACATATTCATCTTATTATCCTCATTTCTGTAATATAATTCTAACAACATTCCAAAAACATACTTAAAAAATTCAGGTTTATCTTCTTCCAAGGTAAATCGAAGGTGCATGGATTTCAAATAGATGATAAGATTACCGACGCAAAAGTTAAGGACTAAGACATGCTCAACTCAACAAAATGTGTCCCAAGGGTAATTAGTTAGTTAGAGGAAAAGGCCAATATCACTAGGGCTTGATTGAGATTCAATACTCTATAAATTCTTGTGATCTTTCTCTGAAAAGACAGATTATGAGAACATAATACATGTTGTCATCTTCACTTTCTCCTCCATGCATTAGCAGGGTCTTACACTTTGATACTCAACAATAGCCTTGGATGCATGCACACTGTAAGGAGAGCTAGTATCTCATATCGAATAATTAGGACCATCCGAGGTTGGTTTATATACTTAAGGGATGGTCATTTCACTCATTGCCATCTTTTTGAGGTTGGATGCTCTGCATGGTATCAGAGTTGGGTCCTGAGTACACAATTATTAAACTTAGGCCACCCCAACAGGGCAACACGGAAACTCAATGCCTGAGCCGGGCCAGTTCATTAATCGGATCACTCATGCAATCAATCCGCCAAAAAAAAGGCTAAACCGGACAAATTGTAATGGGACCTGTCAACGGAACGATTGCATAGAACCAAACAAGTCTAGGTCCTTACACAAAAATAATCTTTTTTATGACTTCAAATGTATTAAAACTCAACCGCTTCAATGCGTGGGCCACGTCTAATCTAGCAAGGCTGGCTGCATAGTGCTTCTTTGTTCCTCGTGAGTTTTCGATGTGGGATCTTGTGTTCCCATTGAAGTGATGCTTTGTTTTTGCTTCTAATTTTTTATGATTCCCTTTTTCTTCCAAATCTTTTTTGGCCTTTTGTTTTGTCATCACAATGTTATTACTTATGCAAATTTGTGATCTATTTAGGTTATTTGGTTGGAGAGGAATGCTTAAATCCTTAAAGATACACGGAAGAGGGTCGATGGTCTATGGAGCCATATTTTTTTTTGGCTTCGTTTTGGGCTTACCAAGGACTTTCAAGGAATTCCACACATTTATATTTTGGCAGGATGGAGGGCAGCCTGTGATTTATAGTTTTGTGGACAACATACATTAGTTGTCCATTGAATTTTGTTTTGGTTATAGTTTTGTTTTTTGTCATTCGAGGGTTGGATTTTGACGGGACTTTCAGCAAAGAGGTTCATTGAAGGAAATGAGTGTTTAACATCTCTTCTTTTGCTATACCTTTTTGTTTTATTATTAATACAATAACAATTTCTCATCAAAAATAAATGCAAATCTTCAATACGTGTTCGAGGAATCAAATAGTTTTTCTACTAACAAGTACTTTTTGTTGTTGTGATTCTAATTTTTAAATTTTGATGGTCATCAACATTATTTGTGATTGTTTTGTCAGGTCCAATTAATGGGGGTTTTGGATGCTCTATTAGGTTTTATAAATTGTCTAAGAAAATTGATAAATTAAGGATATTTTCAGTATTTCTATTTGATCCACTATACATAAAACATGTTATTTCCATAACTATAATAATTGTTAAGCATATTTGTTATTATTAATAATTATTTTTTGTTTTAAATTAATTGTATGATCGGTCCGATCAATTGACCCAACAGTTGAACCAATAATCCATTGACCTATTTTCTTATCTGCATTCATGCCTGAGCCGATTTTTATAATTATGCTTCGGTGGTTAGTAGGTCAAGTCTCTTACCTATTTGATTTTCCCAGCATACATGGTTGTTTGTTTGTTTATTATGCGAGGTCGAGTGTCATATGAGCAAGGATATGAATAGAGCTTGTATCTCACATCGAAAAATTAGAACTACCCAAGGTGGTTAGTTTATATATTTGAGGGGACACTCCACTCATTGTCAATTGGTTTTGGGTTATGGATGCTACAATACAAACAAGAGCAGGCAACACTACCTTCATCCATAAAAAGCCAAAATGACAATATAGGGGTATAAATACTCACATCGTAGATATAGGTTAATTGCATGGCTTAAAAAACCACCACCTCGGACACCACTCAAAAGGGAAGCAATAGGCACAAAGGCCATTGATATGACATTGGGGAACCGTGACACAGTTGAAAGCCATTGATCATGACTTTGACCATTATCAAGTCCTCCTCGTCGGATGTGATTGCTTTGTATATCCTGCATCAAATAATTACATCAAGTAACTCATATTTCATTAGTGGAAGCCCAAAACTACAAAAGTCCAATAAACAACTGCTAAGGCAGATACAAAGCTTACCTCATTCTTGGAGTGAAATGCGGTGGATGTTCTTAATGAGTTTGCAAATGATGGATGGAGATTCCAGACCAGAGATTGTTCATCCTGCAAAGAGGATAGTTAGATCTGTGTCAAGAAAATTTAGGTGATAGTCAATAACACTTGTTACTTGCATTCTATCTAGTCATTTGTCTGCAAGCCATTACAATAAGATCGTCATGTTGCGCTGTAAATGTGTGTTGATCACTTAACTCTTACCCATTTGGTTTACATAGCTTGAAATGACTTGAAATGAGTTGGCCTCATTAGTTAATGGAAACACATAACCATATCCCCATATCCGCCATGAAAGAACCCCAGGGCAAGCAGGTTGGGACTTGAAATTTGTATGGTTGGCTTTGTAATCAGCAATTTTTTGGAGTCATTTTTGGTGGTCTTTAGGCCTGAACATAAGGCTTAAGCGAATGACATATGTTCATGTGTTTTCAGATTTTTTTTCTCTGGTACAGTACTATTCATATAATTCTTCTCTTTACCACTAAACCCTCTACCAGTGTTTGTCATGAAACAGATTATAAGAAAACAAGGATTTGTTTTGAGAATGTATGTAATAGGATGCCAAATTTTTCCATTCAAATGCCCATGAAAAACTCTTAAATACAGGAATGATTAAGGAAGTTAAGTACTTTGGCCACCTATAGACTTATTAAAAAAATCAAGTACTAGAGATGGATACCCATGTCCAATGATTTCAGTCCATCACTTATCTTTTTAGTTTGCTAGTGAATACATAGTCTGTAGAGAACATTAAGCATTTCCAAATTTGATACTATTTACTCCTCTAATGCATTCAGTGGTAGGTTTGGTAAAAAAGCAAAGAAAAAAAGACTTAAGAAATTGGTGCACAAAAGATTCTGCTCTGGGAGCATATCATGGTACGGGCTTGGCATATAGTGGCATTCATCTTTGATAAGCGCATGCTAAATGATCATTGAGTGTAGAATGCAAACAAAAACTATACTAGGGTTAAACTATTGAAATGATTATGATTCTAGGATTCTGTGTACCTTCAGCTTCTCTGAAGACTTATCAGGCTTGGATGTGAGGCTGTCTTCAGAATATTGTACATCAGCTAATTGCTTTAGCAATTTCTGCACTTCTGTTGGCTGAAGATTTGATTTTTGAAACTGCTTAATGTGAATTACATCTTTTCCTCCCATACTTACCCCAACAACAATATGAGTACCATATTTGTCAATAAACCTGGAAAATCAATTCATATCACTATCATTTACCAATTAGCAGCAAGTACAAATTGTCATTTGGGAATAGCTGGACTAGAAACCACAAGTCAGCATGATCTTCAAACATCATAACCAGATTTTGCTTATAAAGACGCCCAATATGTTCCATCAATTTATTTATTTATTCTTTTGGAAAACAAAGTCTCAAGCTATGAATGACACATCATAACAGGCGCAGAAAGACACATTTCCACATCTGCTTTCCAGAATATTCTTGTCTGTATGATCCATAAGTCAGCTTAGGTCAACAGACTGTGGTTAGGGGTCTAATTAGTGCTGGTTTAGAAGCAGCACAGGATGGTAGAACCAAGATAATTGATTTTGTGACAAATATGCACCATTTTCACGTCTAATAACCAAATTTCCAGCAGAAAAGTGGAAACAAATTTACTTACTGCTAATTTACTTATCATAAAGATATTTCCCACAAACAAACTCATGATGGAACAGTAGTGAAAGAGATTCAAATATTACGCTTTAGCAAAAGGATCTTACTCAGCAAGAGCAGCAGGGTCCCATGTAGAAGGCAGCTCTTGTTTGATATGCTCGGATAGAACAATATGAGATCTTGCTAACTCAATATTGTACAAAGTAATAAACAAACCATCGAAAGCAAGATTTTTAGTCGCAGCTGCATCCTTTTGCCAGTAGCCCTTGAACGCGAACATTGAATTAAATAGACCAGAAGGTATTTTACCCGATAAAGACAATTCCTGATTGAATTGCTCCGACATCTAAAATATACATAAAACGTTAGCGAAGGCAGTGTAACAACCAAGCATAGGCAGACAAAATGAATTCCCTAATTAGTCATAACATTGTTGATTCAAATCTCTTTACCACACCAAGCAATATACCCACTACCAAGTGCTGATGAGAGGGTTTTCCTCTCCCATTTCCCTGCCATACTACTCAATCAAAATATGTTTACCTACTTAAACGAACAGAGAACAGTGAAGATGGTAACAGTCTAACAGATCAAGTAATATAGCCTTATGGCAAGAAAGCCAAGGAAGGGAAAAACCTCGAGTAACGAGTCATTGTAGACAAAATTAGAGAACAAACAAAACTGGAAGAGGAAGTAAAGTTGCAAGTGTCTCTATTGTTTATTTGTTGAGTATTTGCCAAAAATTATTACACATAATATTCTCAGCACATTTGTTCTATATAGGAAGAATATCACTTGGAATTGGATGAGTTTCAATTGCAACGAAGTGAAAATGTTAGCCATTTTTAGTTTAAGTACTCTTACTATCAATTTCTCAGGTTATGCATCAATGCCCATCTTTATCAAATGAAAATGGAGAATTTTAGTTAGGGCTCAAGAAGAGACATTCCGAAAAACATTTGACAAGATGATGAACTTCAATGGTAGCAAGAAATGGAATAAACAACATATAATTCACAAATTAAAATATTTCACGCCAAGACCTAAATCTAGGCTGGAGGAAACTATCAATAACTACAAGTACTATTACAAACCCTAGTTTTTCAGTCGAACTTGTCTATGCTATATTTTTCAGACTTGACATACACCAAAGTCCAATCGACCTATATGATTGTACATGCCCTTGCACACATGTAGTCCCAGATGCAACTACCGTACAATCTAAGCATTACTCCAACATCTGATGTCCCGTTACGTTGTCCTATACACCCACATACCATTTATTATAGTTCTTGTAATTGTATTTCTACTACATAAAACCTTACACTATATTATCCAAAAAATTCAAATTTGCAGTTTGAAATTTAGTTTATGCATTCAATTCCTTCAGTACATAGAACAAGAAATTCAAATTCAAATTCAAAAAAATACAATTAATACACTACTCCATAATTAAGAAATTCAAAAAGTAATTAGCGTTTGTTACAGTTCTATGTAACAGTAACATCTTGCGTGCAATTCAAAAAGATATTTCCGTTTTCCACATGAATTGAACAGGGGAAAAAAATCATACCAATGAAGCATTGCTCAAAGTTCAAAAACAATCAAGTAAACTACTTTTCTTTCGTTGTCATCATTTTCCTTCACTTTCTCAGCAACCAAACAGATCATATACCGAAATAACTGCTAAAAAAAACAATCGAAGTCATAATCACCTGACTAAAAGAAAGAACATCGGACCGAAACCTAGTCCGTTCACCTTTATCGCACTTAATCGAAGCCGAAACATTGGGCACAACAACCCCACCAGGCACAACCAAGTCTTTAGTTATTCTTTCATCGAGCTCGATCAATCTCGAACCAGAAGGACCAGGTTTACATGCCGACAAACGAATATCCAAAGATAAATCGTACCCAAATCCGATCACCGACACCGCCTTCTCGGCAGCCGATTGTGGGTCTAACCTGTTGGCATTGAAGGCCATTTGAATTTCTGATTGTTTCTCTCAAGGGTCTTGAATTGTGGGTTCTTATGGAGTTTTGGAAAGGTGGGATTTGAGTGTTTAAGGGTTTGGTTTGAAGGTTCGATACAAAGAAAGAAGACGTGAGAGTGAGGCCATTCAACATCTCTAAATGTTGTGGTTTGACGCATTAAATTCACAATTATAATATACATTGTGTGTGTGAGAGAGAGAGAGAGAGAGAGAGAGAGAGAGAGAGAGAGGGGGGTGGGGTTATACTACATAGTGTGATTGACTTGTGATTTGGAGTTTGTGAAGTTTGGCAGTGTGAATGGAGGTGGAGGACTAACGGTGGCTGGCGGCTGGTTGATTTCTGAATGCCACGTGGCAACTTCTTTGAAGGGAGTTTGGTTGAAAGTCCAAGGTTGAACTTAATAAAAGTTCAAAAAAGTAACGTTGCCAACGAGTGTGTACTTGTATATCCTGGTCATGACGTGTGTCTGAATGTATAATAAAATATAAAATTTATAAAATTTGACGTTATAAAAAATTAATTTTATTATATTAATTTTTTTAACATGTTTATATTATTGTATATAAATAATTTTTAAAATAAAAATTATATTAACTATAAATTAATTAAATATTAAATAATTAAATATATAATAGAAATAAGTTATATGATATTTTTAAGGAGAAAATATATAAATAATTAAACATGTGATAAAAATGAGTGATACGGCTTGATGTTTGAGTCTAAAAGAGCGATGAAAGGTGAGGTAAATGATTGGTGATGATTTTGAAGAGAAAAATATGATTGAAATAAAATTTAAAGTATAAACAATTTTATTGTATACATATATATATTTTAGGAGAAATTTCAATCATATCCCCTCTAATTTATCATGTCTTCAAAAATACCCTTTATTATTCAATACATCACTAATTTTTACATAAATTCGATTAAAATTCAAGCACATTAAAAAAAATTACATATTAAAATTTAAGCTAATTAATTCTTTTTACATATTAAAATTTAATCAGATGAAAATTCAATTCAAGCTGATTAAATTTTTTTCTTTTAAGTATTAAAATTTGAGTTTATTAAAATTCCTTTTTTTAAGTATTCAAACTCGAGTTGATTTGAGCTCAATCTGAGCGATTAGAGTCGATTAAAAATTGATTCGAGTTCGATAAAAATTTATATTTTTACTTATTAAAATCCGTGTCAATTAAAATTCAATTCAAGTTGATTAGAATTTAGTTTTTAAGTATTAAAATTTAAGTTAATTAAAATTTATATTTTTTACTTATTAAAATTTGAATCGATTAAAATTCAATGTAAGTTGATTATAATTTAATTCGAGCTAATTAAAAATGAATTTTATTTAGATAGCATCAAATTTTAGTCGACTTGAATTTTAATACGTAAAAAAATTAATAAAATAGAGGAGATTTCATTGAAAATATGTCTATCTAGAAACGGTATGGATGAAATTTTCCAGTATTATCATGTTAAAACTTTAATTTCAAAAACTAGAGAGGGTGTTTTTGAAAATATAATAAACTAGAAGAAATGTGACTTTTTTTTTTCAAAAAAAAAAATGTAAATGAAAAATTCCAGATATTATCATTTTTTACGGGTCATCAACGTTGATAAATTCTATTCACTACATGTCCGACTATTACAGTAGTGTGTCAGGTCTACCACGCCACCAGCAATTCTAACTTGGAATTCACGAACGATGAGAAATTAAAGTTTTGTTTGGTTAGTGCGAGATTTAAGGAAAGAGCAGGAAAGAAAATTTGTATGTTTTTATTTTTTATTTTTTGATGTTTATTTAACATGATAATACTGGAAAATACTAAAATTAAATTCACGGGCCCACAAAATGTTCTAGTAAATTGCACTTTTTGTTTCCTATTGATTGTGCATGGAAATAATTTTTTTTTTTCCCTGAAAGTTGAAGAGGCATATCTGGTTTCCCTATTTGCCCATATTTCTTTCTACGTTGGTCATTATCTATTAGATATAAATCTCTCTACTATAGATAAAGGGTAACATTGATATTTATAGAGATTTTCTTGTAACTTTCTTGCTTTTCAAAACTATAAAAAGAAATTTTTTAAAAATTTTCTTATACGTATTTCATGTTAAATCAATACAAGCAAGAAAAATATACTTTCTTTTCTTTTACTTTACTTTCTACCACTTTCACTTTCTATCATTATTTTCTTCTTAATCAAACGGATTCAAATTTTCATAAGGAAAAACTCTTTGAGGACTCTCTCGTAAATTGATTCTAGAGTAATCTTATTGAGACCTAAAAATTTAATTTAATGATGTAACGTTGATACAATTCAATAATATTATTATGACTGTAACTCTCAGACTTTTTCATTAAGACTCTATCACTTAATACATCATTATGTCAACAAATTAGATCAATTTTTTATATTTCAATGGCATTACTCTTGCTTTTAATAGTACATATGTATTAAATTTTCTCAGACAGGTATTGTTAACTTCTCTCCATTTATTTGTTAAAATGAATTCTATTTTTCCACTAGTAAATAACTCGAATTTTTTTATTTTACTACGGAGTGTCTAGATTTGCGCCGATTACTCTTTCAAACACAAGAGTTGTCATCGTGGCTTGACCTCAGTTATAGCATGTTTCCGAGAAACACCGCTGACTAACCCTTACGAGGAGTGAAAAAGATTGAACCTAAAATCTTTGAATTATCAAATGTTAGACTTAACCACTAAACTGCGTCTAAAGTTTAATACTAATTTTGCATCAAAATGATGAATTATATTAAGAATGTAATTACTAGTGCTTAAGTATGCATCACCTTGAAAGCGTATTGGTTGTGGGGTTGGTTGTGCCTATTCTCTCTTTTTTCTTTCTGCATTATAATTGAAATAAAGAACATTAGAACTCACTCCAGTAGAAGGAAAAATGATATTTGAGAGGAGCACAAGCTGAACACATGAAACATTTACCTAAATCAAAGTAATATTTGAGTTTAAATGAGAAGGGTTTCTCGGTTATGGACTTGAACCACCAACATTTAGGACGAACCTATAAAAATAAAATGAAATTCATTAAGGGACTTGATAAAAAAAAAAAATATACTGTTAGACTGACCAAATTTAGAGTTTAAATGACATGACAGTTGATTTGAGTTTATTTGATTGGTGTTATGTCATTTGAGTCCCAATAAAAACTTCAAATAATCAACTGTCGTGTCTTTTGGGCTCTAAATTTAGTCCTAAAATTTGGTCAGTGTAACGTTACTAAAAAAAAAAAAAAAACCCGATCTCAACTACTGACACACCCAGTTATATGTCAGGGGTAAACATGGAATTTGGGTTACTTGAAGAGGAGAGTGTGGGCTTTGTGATAGATTACCTTTTTCGGCTTTAGTGGGACTGGCTATGGGGAAAAGCCTGTTAGTAATACTCCACTTTTTGGGCTTAGCCCACAAGTTAACTCTTTCCCAAAGGAATTTGAATTTTTTAGATGTGGGTACAATTTTTTAAATTTATATAAGCAAAAGTGTATGGATAAGTTATTTATTTTATTAAATACAATTTTTATAAAAAATTTTGTGTTTTGATACAAAATTCAAAATAAATTAAAATCTTTTTTATGTAAACACATTTCCTTAATTTATGCAGTCATCATTGACAGTTATTTGAGAAAACAAATATATAAAGATTAACAACAATAATGGAAGGTAAAATAGAAGTTTACATAGAACGAGATAAAGCAAAAGTAAAGGTATTTCGTGCTAGAAGATGAAGATGATTATATATCAGTTTGTTTCACTTTATACTTTATACACACACACAGATATATATATGTCGTCTCATGCCACCAACCTTACTTCTACTTCATCTGACCAAAAAGAATAAAATCTTTTACTATAATGATTGATCAAACCATGAAGTTTCCCAAAAAAAAAAGAGAATCAGTCAATATGATTTGTTAGATATTTGTTGAGATGTAGGAAAAAAAGAACTTCTTTATTATGGATTTAACTTTTTTAATGTGTATAACTATTTTTTTAATGAGTGTAATTATTTTTTTAATGGTTGTAACTGTTTTTTAATAGGTGTAACAATCACAATCTCATGCAATTGTTAAGACATGATAGTGTAACGATGCGGCAATATTAAATGGTGCAACTATTTAGTTTATATAAATAACTAAATGACAAATTGAGTTGATGTCATATTTTTGTGTAATTGTTTAATTTATTAGAACGCATAAATAATTGTTTGATGTATTAAATGACAATTGTAACTGATTGATATAATTAATTAATGTAATTGTGTTGTTGTAATATTAATATAAATAGAGTAAGAGAAAATAGGGATATAGGGAGGGAGAAAAATTGTTAGAAAAAATATGTCCTTATTTTATTCCTATTATTTGATTGTAGCCAAAAAAAAGGGAAAAAATACAAAAGAGTTTCCATCCATATGCTGTTTATCGATGGTAATAGTGGCATTTTTAAAAAATATGCAATTTATTCTAAATAAGTTTTTGACTTGTACTTTTGTCCATAAAAGTCTAAAAAATTGTACCGATTTCTAAATACCCCAAAGATTTTCCCCTAAGATTGGAAACAATGGGCCACAACTATGTTCTAGACTTCATTTTTTCCTACCCTAGGTAACATGTAGAAATTATTAAAAATAAAGAAGCAGGGTTTCCACATCAATCGCCCTCTCACAACCCATTTCGGCAAGCAAAAAAAAAAAAAAAGAAAGAGAAGAAGAAGCAGTTCTTCAAGTTTCCACAGCTCCATTCCTCAAAAACCAGGTATGTCAATGGATTTGATCCAAATATTAAATGAATCCGAATTTAATTACTCGGAATGTAGATCGATAATTTTGACTAATAATCATTGATGGGTTAAGCCCAAATAGTCCAATTTATGTATTAAAGCCCAGCCCTGGTTGAGGAGCCCAACCTCATTGTGAATCCACCAAGTCCAAGACAGACCAAGGCCGGTTAGACTTCTTGCTTAGCACGTCACCAAGAGGAGAGCACTGGAAGTTTATCTACACCGCCTTAGGGAGCCCAAGGCCGGTTGGACTTCTTGCTTAGCACGTCACCAAGAGGAGAGCACGGTTGGACTTCTTGCTTAGCACGTCACCAAGAGGAGAGCACGGTTGGACTTCTTGCTTAGCACGTCACCAAGAGGACAGCACGGTTGGACTTCTTGCTTAGCACGTCACCAA